GAATTTTAATACATTGAAAGTGGTCTATTGAATATATATTTTTTTGCAATTTGTTCTAGTTTTGAGTTGGAAGGTATAACAAAACACTTAATGACTGGCCCCTCGGGAAAAAGTGAGTTTTGTTTGAAGGTCTCGGGAAACAAAACTCACTGTTTTCGCTGGGGTCAGTCATTAAGTGCTTAATGTGTACAACGAAGCCGAGCTTTATTCTCATCCACACTCTAATACTTACAAAGATGACCCCTTGAAGGCTGGAAAATGAAGAGGATGTCACAAGAAAGAAATAAACACCAGATATGTTCTGGATGCCGTCCTGGTCGTAAGGTATTTGTAAGTAGATTAACCCCGCTATCAATCCAGTGATCTATCATTAAAAAAAAAAAATGATCAGCTTAAGACTGTAGTCAATAGTGATACAGATAACAATCAAAATTTACTGCGATGATCATCCTTCACTTTCATCTACAGCCGCAGTTCATATATGAATTATTTCATATAAACTTCACATCAGATAACTTCTGTGTTTCTTTTTATGATTCTGAAAGTAGATGTACGCAGGGGCGGATCAGCATTTTTCTCCTTGGGAGTGTTTTACTTTAACGCCAATACACCACATTTGGTTTATTTTTTTGGGGGCAGAATACCAGTTATATTAGAAAGCCGCATGTCATCTCATGACACGCGGGGGTTGGGGTTGGGGGTGGGGGTGCACACCCCCTGCACCCCGCTAGTTCCGCCCCTGTATACACGTACAAAAAATTTTCACAATGTTAACATCACTTTAGATATCAGAAATTTTGAGATCCCTTACATCTGGTCACTCTACACAGTGCTAGAACTGTTCAGCCGACAGTTATACAAATTGTGTGATTTATGCGACTGTTGTGCACAGCGTAGTTGGCTGCTATTATCCAAACAATCATTGCATGCAAATTAATTTTTGCGACAATCAGCTGAAAGAACACACAGCAATTCTTCCTGCAATTTGCACTTTTCATGCACTACATCCACTGTCTTAAAAGTTGAGGTAAAGTTACCAAAAGTAGTTTGTTTCTCAAATAATATGTAAGCGTTTTCTTTTTTATTCAAAAGTGATCCACCCAGGTTAAGATTCAACATGATGATAGAGACTGTTCAGCTAGCTTGCTTCAAAACTTACAATGGCCTGAAAAATCCTTATCCTGAAGATGATGACGTCTCTATTGTTAGTGATCCACGATCGCCACAGCACTGCACCAAGCTGCCGACACCATGATGCCTTGTACCTACATGTAAAANAGTTGAGATAGAGTTACCAAAAGTAGTTTGTTTCTCAAATAATATGTAAGCGTTTTCTTTTTTATTCAAACGTGATCCAATACGATGATAGAGACTGTTTAGCTAGCTTGCTTCAAAACTCACAATGGCCTGAAAAATCCTTATCCTGAAGATGATGACGTCTCTATTGTTAGTGATCCACGATCGCCACAGCACTGCACCAAGCTGCCGACACCATGATGCCTTGTACCTACATGTAAAAATATAGCACTATTTGCCTTGGAGCTCAAGATACCCAGTGTATTAAACAAATTGGCCAAACATTATTTAAACATTATCTCAACTGCAGAGATCAACTTCAGGACTGTGGCTGATAGCTCAGCCTTAATCTCTTCTCCATAGTCTATATTTAAACTATCTCCAGGTTAGCTTTCAACATGCCCTGTGATTGGTCAATTTACTGGACCATATTCTAGTGTGCATGGCCTGCATAGCAGGTGTAAAATGGATTAGTATCACCACCCCTACATGTACCCCTTCTCCGTTTACCCCTGCAATGCTCGCCAAAATGTTTCGTCACTTATCACAAGTTGATGATGTTTGATGTTCATGCA